GAAGGGGGAAAGGGGAAAAGGAGGGGGCGGGGGAAAAGCGAGGTATTCGCCTTCATGAAGGAGACCATGCCCAACGTGGACAAGGATGGTACATTTTGATACATTCTTAGGCATGCAGCTCCCCGCCCCAGTGCCCCCGCCTGGCCAGTCCGGCCCTGGCTGGGAGCACTCTGCATCTTTGACAGCCTGTGGGACGACGGGGCCGCGGACGGCGGCGCGGGCTGTGGCATGGCGAGCAGCCATAGACACTAAGCCGGCCCTGCGGAAGCTCTGCGACAAGACTCGAGATTAGACAGAGAGTTGAACCGAAGCCTCTCTGGCCGTCTGGTCCAAGAGGGTGGGACTCTGGGACTCGTGGGGACGTCGCAAGCAAGTCGCACACGAGGTACCCACTTCAGGAATCAGCTGATTCGCCTGGACGTGCCCGACAAGTAGCCTGACGAGGCTTGTCACGCGTCCTGCTTTGAAGCGCCTGCCAGTTAGGCAAACATCCTCCCTCGATGCTCCCCGGCGCGACTGGCGGCCTACCGCGAGGCTTCAGGGATTTTCCCTGCAGGACAGACCTGTCTTGCCCAACTGTTTCGAAGTTTGACGATTGACAGTTTAACTTATGCTGACTCTCTACCTTTTATGTTTATATGTGGCTAAATGTTTGTGATCCAAAAGATATTTTGTTTTCCCTTGTTTGTAGTGTAGTTGCTTTGAGTTCTATTGGAATCCAAATCTCCTGCCCCATTTTATTAATGACACTTTTTGTTAATTGGGTACATCGACTCTAATCAGCTTATCTAGTTTTGAAAGCTGTCCGCAGTTGTCTGTATAATTTATATAATAATTGCAATGGCCAAACTTCTGTTACGATCCAGCCAGTATGAATATCTGTTGTTCAATAAGGCTTAAAGTGAGTCCTTTTTTGAAAATGCTTGTTGAATTATTTTTCTTTTAATTTTTGGTATTAATTTTAGTTTTGCTATTTGCTTTCTACGGTACTGAGTTTTTTGTTTGAAGTACATCTATTATTTCAAGTGGCTGATAGGTAACTCTAGCCTCCAACTGATTGGCTGGGTGGTGCCCCATATAAATAAACGTCAGTCACTAAAGTCAGTCTTTGTGTTTATGCTGACCTCCTCCCTCACAACTCCAGGGGCAGTCCTTAGGTTCTCCAAACGTCTGCTTTTGTCACCCACCACCCCGCTCTCTACCTGACACAGGCTTTTCCTTTGTTATGACTCCCTTTTTTTTCATCCCTGCAATTTGTTCTTAACTGTTACATCATAGAAAGAAAAGTAATAATCAATTAGCTACTAGTTTTTAAACTCAAGTTATGCAATGGCTAAGCTCTGGGAACCAGTGCATTTTATTTGGACTCTTTTAGGATCAATTAACCAAGCTTTCGTGAGAAATTCAAAGCTTGAAGTCTCTTTTTGCATTTAGTATTGCATTTGTGTCCCAGCATTTCTCCTGCAAAAAACCCAACTTGTATTTTTAGTTACTTATTACTGGAAAGCTGCAGTTTCAATTTTGATTTTTTTTGTTGACTGGGTAAAATAAAACACTAACACTTATTTTTCATAGAATCTTCTAGCATTTATTTGTGCATCATCGTGAACTTTTGTTGTCAGAGGTACAAGTTCAAAGAACCTTGTCAGACAATTAATTTTACCATAAGCATAATAGATACAGAAAAGAAATTTACAAAAAGAATTTAAAGAAATATAACAAATTACGACAGTTTTGGATCTGTATTAGTTTTTAAAGTACCCTAATAAAGGAAATTTGCACCTTTCTTGCCAGTGTCTTAATTTGAATGTCAGAAACAATGCCGCACTCATTACTGGCAGATTACAATACATGAAAAAAATAATTTACATACAGAGTAAAAGCTTATTTAACAGTGTTAAACTTACTCAAAATTAACATTAGTGGACGATTCATACTCTAATAAATAACAGTTTATAAGCCAACTTAAACAAAAGGGTAAAGTTATATCATGAGGGGGTGGTTGAAACCAATCTTGTGGTATTTAGGGATGACCCACAACTTTTTGTTATCTCCCTGGAACGGCATACTATTAAAAGGCTGAAAATGAGCTAGATTACCTACAATACACAGCCGAACTTCTGGAGAGTCTAAGACTTCTAAACAATATGCATTGCATAAAGGCTCATATTTGAAAGTTTTCAGAACTGAGACAATTAAAATCTTTATGTCTCCTTGACATAATATGTCTGAAACTGTGGCAAAGGTTGGTGTATCATCAAGAAGCACAACTGAATTGAGGGAGAACTGAGCACCTTTGGTTCTGATGCTCTTACATGTTAGAAGCATTTCTTCACTGTCAAACACTGCAGAGAGGAGTTTCTTGTACTGATGCTGATTTGTTTTAATTTGACGAGGAAATGAATAGATATCATCTTTTACTATAAAGTTCCCTGGTTGGTCTCCTGGTTTTGTTAGCATTTGAGAGGCTCTCAGGTTTTCATATCGGTAACTACACGATAATGGAGGGTTGATAAAATTCTTCATAATTCTGATGAGATTTTTAAAATAAGAGTGCTGTGCTTCAAATCTCATGGTCCATGTAACTCTTGTTGGACCGAAGTTTTCAATTTGTTCAGGAATATGGATAACAAAATGGAACTTAGGAGTTACATCAAATTCTGGGTAATGCACAATAAAGGTCTCATGATGAGTCTGGATCATGCTTCTGATTTTTGACAAATCTTCTGCTGTCAGCTCAAAAGCCAGAAGACCCATAGTCACCTGCACCAGGCAGACAAAATTTTGTAGCCTCTCTTCTAAGTCCAGCATGTCGTCATGCCTTTCTTCTTCTTCAAGATTTTCCAGATCATCCAATGTCTTCTTCAAATGAAAGGGAATGCATAAGGCTAAAGAAAGCATTTGACTTGCAGATTGTCTCAACCCAGTTATCAGATGGCTTGGAAGAATGGAGGCTGGTCTATCTTTAGAAAATAATTGATTGGCCATGTAACGTACATCTGCATTGATCTCTTCTACTTTGGTAACCTTCAGAACTTCAACAGCATGGAAAAGCAGATGGCGAAGGTGGGCTTCCAAGATACCTTCATGTACAATATGCATGACGTCTAAATTAAAACAACGTACATAATCGAAGTGTTTTAAATCAGATATAACAGAAGGTCCATTAATTCCAAACCGGGTAGATTTTTCAGTGCGTTCCTTGAGTGTTTGTGATGATTGCACCTCATTTAAGTGGCTTTTCAAATTTTCAGGTGTTCTTTTCTCAAAAAAATCTTCCCTGAAAACACTCTTCATTTCTTCATTGTCCACGAGGCACTTGTGACATGGTTTATGAGCAATACTCACTGACTCCTTGAAGCCACCAAGAACATTCACAGCAGGCGTATCACCAGTTACACACAATAAACTTCCAAAGACAGTCTTTTTGTCAGTAATCTTAATACCCTTTTCAAGCTGCCTGATGCCATCGAGAAAAGGAGCAAATATCTTGGCATGTCTTTCCTGCTTCAAGTCAAGCGATAAACTTTCAGTTAAGGATTTTTGAGCTTTGAGATCTTTACTCCAGGCAATTGCCATCAGTTGGACAGACTTCAAGGAAGCTCTCATCTGAGGATTGAAATTTGCCAGCGTCCAGTAGTATAGAGCTAATTTGTGTTTCTTAGGACCAAGAGGGGATGACACTTCCAGTTCATCAAATGTACATATAACTGCAACTGTCCCTTTTTTTGATAGTATTGGATGTTCTTTACAATACTTGCCATCACGGTAACTTCTATATACTCCCTCTTCACTTGTTTCAGAATTTTCCACACAAGACATTACATCAGGCCTGCTTAGGAGCCTTTTCAAACTGGGAACAAATGGACTTGTGTAAGCATAATGCTTAACTGTTTTTAGGACACCATTTTTGTCACTCTCTTGAGTTTCATAGAGCTCTACTCGTTCAGGTTCCAGAACACCAAGATGCTTCTCAGAAAATGAATCAAGAGATTTTTTGGAATCCATCCCAGAAAACATTCCTTGTGAAAACTCCTGGAAGGTGTTCTTGATATGCTCTTCTGATACTGCACCAGAGGCATCAATCCCTTGCATAATGCGATCCTGAGACAAAAAATTAAAGTCAAGTTAGAGTTAGTGCTCCAGAGACTGGCAATTTTAAAAACTTAACATATGATTTTTTAAATTATGGAATCAGAAAAATTCTTTTAAAATCACAACTTTAAAATGGCAGAATGATAATTAAAATAGAATCAGAAGTGCGATAACAATTTAAATACAACTAGTTTCTTTACAAAAGGTTCATAGGTATTGTCCAATGAGTCCCTTAAATTTGTTGCACAAAAGAGAGCAAAACTAACCTTTATAGAGTTTGAAAATTTAGAAAATAACTCATCTGCACCATCAACAGCCTTGCTCAATGCTGTCTGCGAAACCATTGCCTCCTCTCGAAGATTCAGCAAAAACTTTGCAGAGTCAAATTGAAGTTCTGCGTCCAGCCCTTGTCCTGCCGGATAAAGGATAATAAGTCTCAAAATTGAAGATACGGGAATTCCCCGCTACATATAAAATTCAAGTTATTAATTTTGGTTGAAAAGTTTGCAGAACAAATAAGTTACCAGCATCGGAGATAGCTGAATCCAAAGAATGCGTGCTTTCACAGTCAGAATCGTTTTGCTCATCAGCTTGCTCACTCGACACGTTGAAATAATCAACATCCGAAATCTGATCTGCATCTTCGACATCAGACATAGTTTCCTGTGCTGCAAACCGAAAAATTGATTTGATGAGAGTGGTCCAAACATGGATGGCAGACCATATGCACTGATGACCAACCTTCATTGTCGTCTACCGAGGTTAAAGTGGGATTTGAAGATCCACCACCCTGAACTGATCCTGTAAAATAATAAGGTAATAAAATAAAGTGTGAAAGAACAATCTTAAATTAGTTAGATGTGGGAGGAAAATAACCATACCATCTTCATGTCTTGTTACCGAGGAACTGCTAGCAACAGGCTGATTAAAAGGTGAAGTGGAGTGTCCAGCAGGAAGAAGTGTATCTGTTGGCATATGTCAAAACGGTTGATAAGAGAGCTATTTAAATATAGCATCCATAACTTAGACATATCTAGAGAGTTTATCGGGCAACTGACTAGGCGGTCAATAGCCTACTCTTACCGTTTTTCTTATGGACGCGAATATAATGCGATCGCAGCGTCCCTGGGTTGTGGAAGACTTTAGAACACACAGAACATTCCACACTAAACGTTTTTTCACGTCTGTGTTTCTTTACGCAATGCGTATATACTGCGAGAGGAGAACCA